TAATGTTGAAATAGTAATCAATATATCTAACCAGTTTCTAAGATATTTAGTGAATGATAAATTGACTTGATAGCAAAAAAGAAGAGAAAAAATATATCTCAATAATTTAGAAAGTCTTCTGTGTTAACGTACGCTTGAGAGGGATCGAAAACAACGGAGTGTGTTTGAAGTGATACTGATTATCAACTATACGATCTTTGAAGCTGAACACAATTTTCATATTAAACATATTATTCTATATCCAACCCGAATGTATGCTTTATCAGTTCTTGATATTATATTAGTGGCTGTCGCGATGGGACTAGTCAGTATAGGCAATGCTGTGAGTTCCACGTGAGACCTTATAGATTAGGTAGTCACATCGTTACAAATCATTCGTGCCAGTAGGCAACCCTCGTTCTGTTGATATAAGAGACCAGACTAGTAGTGAACAGGTCTTTATGTAGCTCGTGGGACAGTCACAGTAAATCTGGAGATTACCTGTTCAAACACACAAATCTTTTCAACGTTGAATATAAGACAGTAGAAAATTTAGTGCCTCTAGGAGATACGAAAGTGAATAGATACTTGAGCTCTATTATTTTGACATTTACTTGTTTGTTTGAGCTCAACTCTTAACTAATAAACCTTAGTCGTTAAAAATTCACAATTTTGGGATTAGGTCCATCATCCTAGTAGTGAAGACAAATACACTTCATACAGACCTAAACCATAATTCAACATACTCTCTACTTAAAAATCCTCATAACAGATACATCCAATCAGTTTCTTTTCATCTGGATATCTTGATTCGTCTAAATCATTTAAAAGAGTTGAACTTTGAGGTGTGTTTAATCGGATGACAAGTTCTAAATGGAATGCTTCATAGTATTAAATTTGAATATATCCCGGCAACAGAAGTGATGTTTCACAGATGTGAAATATTATGAAGTCGTCACAAACTGAAACTCGTCACCTTAGGAAAAAAGGCACTCAGATATACTCCGGCAATAACCATAGTTGGTGGCAGCATTCGAGTGTAATGAATAGTGCTCGCCATCTTATCAGTGTTGAAAGCGTTCAGGGTGTTTTCAAAAGCGTTTCATCAAGCATCATTCGGTCCACAAGGGACCAACTAATAAATCTACAAGAAAATGAAAATCCGAACATTTTGAAATGTTTAGAACTGATCACCAATAAGGGACTTCTCCATTCACCGAATTCTACTCTGTTATCGGCGGCTTCGTATGTGACTATTTGTAAGATCATTTAAATGAATTTAGGCGCGACAGTGTGCTACATGCTTCCTGTTTGTTACATGGTAAGATAATTTGTTTCTAACTTGTGAGTAACAACATAAATTTTTCTACGCAGTACGCTAGGTTGAATCCTTCTTACTCTAAATCGAAACTTTACTTTAAGACACGAGTCACTATTGTAATAAAACCACTCAACTGCAAGATAATGACTTGATGGGACGAATTCATCAACTGTTAAATGCCTCTAATTGAATTAATAATAAACAAAACTGAACAGAGTGACTTCCGATAGCCTGACTCTAGAGTCTTAGGGTATCGGAATTCGATACTAGATGACCTAGGTCCAACCTCGCTTATCAGCAAATCTTTTCGTATTTACTTCCAAAAAAGGTTTTGATTTGTGTTCACGTATTCTCTTACCTCTTTCAAGGATCCTGTTAATCATGATTAGAACTATGAAACAAGCCCACCATGCAAAATTGATCTTCTTTTCATTGATTGAACAACCTGACCAAACATAGATAAATTATCTGATCAACTTTCAAAGGCATGATGACCATCAGTAATCCGGTTGTATCTAAACGCCCTGGTGTCATGGTAACTATGAAATTCCGGAACTGGTCGGGGTAGTAGGTGATTAAAGGTCTTTCAGTTTCAACTTTTGAACATATTTGTGATAACTTCTGAAATGAATACTCCCGAGTGAAGCGAAATGTAAGACGTGTGTCAATTATTCTGGATGTCTTTTGAATCTTGGGAAAAGTGTGTGGGACCTAAGCATGCTGTTCAATCCCCAGTCTTTGATGCAGATGCACTATTGGCAACTATAGGGGCTGTAACGAGTTAATACCTCAGCCATGAAATAAAGACAACTGGGAGGCAAACGACAGATACTACACTGGTATTAGATGCCAGCTTCATTGGACAGATGCCCAGAACAGATACTTTCAAAACTATCTACATGATGTTTGAAAGATCCCTTCGAGTCATCAGAATGCTAGTAGACAAGGTAGCCGACAAATTTATGGTTTCGTTCTAGATCTCATCATTATTTCTTAAAACATTTCAAAAAATTTTCACCACTGAGTTCAAAGAAGTTTCAAAGCTAGACCACTAGGGCCGGTCCAGCAGATTGATTTAAGGACAACACAGGATGAACAAAAAGAACTCAATCACTAGACGTAACGGTACTTCAGGAATTATTACGACACATATATTGTTTGAAATAGTTATAAACATGCTTCCCGCGTGTCAAATCTGCTGAATAAAGTGTAGTTTATGCGCATTTTAAAATTGAACGAAAATATTTTGGTCGATTCCAGTTTCTCAACACTGATAACTAGTTCAGTATGGAATGCCATGAGGTAGGGTCAATTCGTTGAGGGGCACTTGAAGAGGGATTTATGTGAATCGCTGAAATTTCTGCCTTACAAACAATTATACGGTTTCGGTTAGATTACTATCCATACGTGTTTTGAAAAAAGCTTTCGGGATAGAAGGTAAAAGAATTACCAACTAGACTTCACGAGTGTCCGAAGGACAAAAGCAACCCACAAAAGTTTATCAGTAAGTGTGAAAAACAAGAAAAAGGGAAACGAAAACTCGCAATCGCAAAGGTCTGTCTTTTTACCACTTAGCTTCGTAGGTGATAAAATATTGATACCAATTGTTCCCAGACTAAGTCCTGAATTGCAAAAGTTCTGTTTAATCACTTAGTTAGCTACATTGTATCAGAGAAGCTGTCTCAAGAGACATTTTAAAGTTATCAAATCCTCACCTGGAGTTACTTCCAATCATATATATCAGTTTAAATTTTCACTTTAAAGCGCTTGCACTGGAAGAACAGAAAGTAGTGTGCTTTTATTCATGTCTTAGTGCACTCCATAGAAGTTGGAATTAAAAGGTTGAGTTGCTCTCAGTAGTGCTATTGCTGCCATCTACATGATAATAGACCTGATGTTAATATTTCAGGATTGTTTGAAGTAACTGATACTCAAATAGCTTCGTAAATACCAAGTTTTTCTGGACTCATCCTTGCAACAAAGTTGAAACTATAGAAAAACATTAGCAAAATGCATTTTAATCTCTCACTGCCATGACAATTTCTGTCTTTCACTAGTGATTTCTTCAATATCCTGTTTTAAATTCTGAGTAAAGTTTCTTTCTTTAACTCTTTTTTGCTATTCGAGCTTCACTCATTTCATTTATTATTTATACTTAACTTTAACACAAAGTTTATGCTTTAAAAAGTGTTTGGTCTTTTTCCTAATCTTCACATCCAGTAGATTAAATGATAATCAATTTTGTTACCTTTTAATTTTCATATGCTTTTTGCCGTTTTTCGACCAATCTTCGTTAATATGATGTGAAACAAGTACTTTGGTTGTGAGTAACTACCATTGTGATATATTGGTTTTATTTAGTTAAAGAGAAACTGGAGAACAAACTAGTCAGTCTTATCATATTGAGCTTCCTTGTTCTACTTTGCTTAATTATTTTGCATTAGTCAATTGTGTCATTGTATTTTCGATTTTGAGTGCGATATGATAACATAAAGTCGTCAATGTCATACTTCACACGATTTTATTGTTGAAACCTCAACTAAGTGGTATATGACATTCTAATCATTTCTATTTCGAGGGGTTTCAAGTCTGACCATGTCTATATCAATGTGTGAAACCTGTTTATAACTGCTAGATCACAGTAAACAGTTACTTTGAAGTCATAGTTTATGAGTATATTTTGATATTTTTGTTCCAGAACTATAAACAGTGGTGCTTTAACGATGATGTACTAGCGACCGAAGTGGAGTTGATGACGATATGTTCTATATTTTGACGATTGTCACCTTCTCTACCAGAAAACCACTTCATGTATTTCACTTCGGAGCTCCAGCTTGTCAGTATTATCATTCAACATTTCTCATAGGTTTAATTATCGGCAGTGAAAAACAATGTTATTCCAAACAGTTTGGACAGTCCATTATCGGAAAGAATTAATGGTTAGTTTCTCAGGATTGCCTTACGTAATATGACCTTTATACAATTTCACAATAAAACTGTCCAAGGCAAAGACCGATCGACAGCTTTACATCTTACCTTGGAGTTTCTGAACACTGTTCGTTAGCTAACGTGAGCGGCAAACAAATGGTCTAAGCTGATCAACCAATCCGCATAAACCGGTGGAGATCAGTATGATCACCTCTCTTTCCCAAAATCTGGTTGATGGAAAGAGGAGTACACTTCATACTTATGTGCGTGAAAAGCAGGACTGTAGACAATATGCCTCGAGTTGTTTGAGTTCATTTGTGTTAGCTTCACTAGGTCTGGCGGAGGCAGGCCCGATGTATCTAGTTCTCAGAGGTGAATATTAAACCTACTTGTTATTTGAACATGATGAGAGTGTATCGTCAAATGAAGAATACTGACAGAAATAATTTGGCTAACTGTTATTAATTGAAGGTTCGGCAGTAGGAAATACACAGACAATACACCCCTCTGAAATGAAAATCAAGATCGTATTTTGCACTTTCATTCTCAAGTAGCTCACTTATAATGAGAAGACTCTTTATTTTCAGAAAGTCGCATCGTTTAAAAGATGAAAAAAATTTAGCTTTTTCAAATGCTTTTACGATTCGAAAATATTTGTTTTAACGTATAATGTGTAGCTTTAGCTAAGCAACAGTTAATACGAGAAGTGGCGCGTGTGTTAACGCACGGGTGTTTTTTGTTTGTCGAGTTCGTTTTTACACTTGGAGAGGAAATGAAAGATTTCCGACGCCCTAGAACGGGAGAGGAATTTTATGAGTCTTTCGAGGGAGCTCCTTTGTTTACAGCCGTGCTCACGTATATAAGCTTTCTAATATTAAACATCTTGGGGAGGCTTCAAGATTTCCTGAGGTTTATTCATGTATTAAAAAATCATTCAGTAGCAGAAGTACCGAACACTAAATCTTTCGTCCCGCTTTACTCGTCTTATGAGGCTTTTTATACCCGCAATCTATACCGAAGGGCACAAGACTGTTGGTCTAGACCTATTTGTTCTGCTCCAGGTAGTGAAATCGTAGTAATGGATCGTAAATCACCGGACTGTGGATGGACGTTGAAGTGAGTTGAAATAAGTTATCATGATTTATTTCTACACACACGCAGTTCTAATAAATTTAAAAGCCTTCGTTTTTAAACATGTTTTTCTATGTAAAGAAATGTAATCAAACAGTTATTTATCCCAAAAGTTAATTTATTGTTTGGTTTTTATAAACAATCTCACTCATTGGTCATCTCTTGTAATGATTTAATTGTTTTCTCCATTTAGTTGGTGAAATATGTTCTTTGATTTTTAGTAGCTAAAAATACTTGGCGGCGTTCTGATTAAATTGTTATTTTAACCTCCTTATGTTCAAGCACTTCTCGTGATATAAAGTATTCATGTTCTGCAATATTTTTTCACATATTTTCAGTATGCCTTGTGTGGTAATAATTTTATTAGCAGTTTAAGATGCCTATCGCAGATTCATCTACGACTTCGCACTATTTCTCACAGTTATGATTCATCACTGTCTTTGATGCAAGGAAACTTCATCTAATCTTTTGGGGGAGAATTTACGGATTTTTCTGTGTTTATTTAGCGTTAATGACGCACTGTAGCCTCTAAAACTACTGAGCTGCGAATTAAGACACATTTTCCCTCATTTCAACCTTTATGATCGTTTGTTTACGGTATATAAGGGCTGATTACGCATATCTTTTACATTTTAAGCTGAACGAGAGCAACGGAAACAACCTCTTAGAAATTAATAAACCCATCATCCGTGAATAAAACCGTCTTATACCCACCACATACTGATGTAAACCTTTAAAGCGAGTTTATGATATTAAGATTACGCAATATTTCAGATAAATATCTAAAAAGCAAACGAATAATCTTGATTCTTTTTACCATTTCTGTTGTTACCGCTGCTGTGACTCTGTTTCTCGTTGTGTTGATGAGTATGTAAATGTTGTTTGAAACTTGATTAGCGTCGGTTATTTCAAACAGTATAACTGGTTTTCATATAGAATTTAAGTGTTCGAAACGAACACTGTATACTACTAGGTTCCACAGTCAAATACAAGGATATTTGGAAAAGACCCAATTCTTATCTCTAAGAAGAAAGATATACACCCAGGAGAATCACTGTATCCCTCCTTTGATCACTGCTGATAATTGTTTCAAAATTTCACTCCATCGGAAATCACTAGTTTGTCAATAGAGTAACTGGAAAAAGCTGAACCAAATATGAATACGCGACATTTTCTTCAACTGTAAACACAAATATTCGAAATCAGTCACCAAGAATCTATTGATGTATTATAATAATAAGACGTATTTGAGATGATTTGCCAAGTATGCACGAAACAGTGCAATATAAGACAGGTGGAAAAAGAGGAAGACTTACGAACATATTGCGTTGGATATTGGAATCAGACGCCAAAAGAATGATTAGCAACTGAAAACAACTGGAAAGGATTACTCAGAACAAAGTTTGATGAAGAAAGCTGGTGGGCGGCGTATGCTTCTTCACGAGTAATTAAGTAAGAACTAGATGAGAACAACTGGACATATAATATTTGGAATTTGTAGTAAGTGCCCAATATAGTACAAAGAACCCATCAGTTAATTTAATTGCCACACTCAGCTAAATGACAGGATGGTAGCAGAAATGATCAATAAAAATTCCAAGTAAATATAAGAATTTAGAAGGCACTTCCGAGCTTTGAAAGTAATTTTATTGTATAGTGTTATTAAATGCAACAAATCATTCAATACTATTGAATAAAAAAGTTTAATTCATAAAAAGCTAAAGTACGTGGATATTAAGTGATTAAATATGATGTACAGTGGGCAAGACCTACCAATAAAAGTATGAACGACTAAAAAAGCACAATATGGATTAAATCGTCCCACTAGATGCTTATTAACTATACATATTATCACTGTAAAACATTAACTTGTATTTCTGTAAATTTGAGCCTTAAGAAATTGTTTCAGTCCATACTGTTGGATAAATGGCTTTAGGTGTTACAGATAACAATGATTTGTACGTGTCTAAATGGTATAAAAACGCGATATGTGTCCCGATTTTGTTTTAGATACTGATAATCAATGTCCTTTTGTCATACAGAAAATTAAGAAAAGTATTCGTTAAGTTGGAGATCCCGAACATATCTGCTTAATTTCGTAGTTTTACTGGTTGATAACTGCATATTATGGGGACTTAAGACGTTTTAATGCAAAAAATTAACTCCGACAAGGAACCTGTTGCTTTTTATTACAAAAAGTAGCCTATACATCGTTCAAACGACGACCATAAGTATGATGAGTCTAATTGCAGTTCATTTAAGAACATCTCAGAGTAGTATGAAAATCAAAGAGGATCAGAATAAATCATGTGGTGACCAAGCCCCACATCATCTTATACAAACAGATTGTCTGTTTGGTCGACCTTGAATGAAAATACTATGAAAAACTTGTATTGGAAAAGTACTTGAGAAAGAAGATACGATCCCCAATGAGCTGTAATGAATTTAGAATCATCGTCAAATCTGAGTTACGCAACTGTGGTGTATGGAACATGAAATTTTAAGGCGTATAAATTACTTCTTGATAATAGTTTCTTTTAGAATATAGACTTAACAAATACATTTTTTTCGAACAACTTCAGATGAAAAGTCAAGATTTTACTCGAGTCAATAAAGTGAAGGCTTAATCCACTAAATTTCTTACTGTTTACTTTACGTGTTTTTCTTGCTATATATGAGGTCGCCATAGGTTTGGAAAGTATAAAAGACTACTAAGCTGATGTTATATTATTTGGTGTGAACGCACGTGAACATATTGACCGATTACTTGCACAATGAAAAAGATTTCATGGGAAAAACTTACTACTGAATAATCCGAATCGGTTTTCTAAGTTAAAGAGATGGCATATTTGGGATTTACGATGTATATGTTTTGATCCCAACTATAATCTTGGTCTAGTTTCATTTTATTTACGGAAACCAGGTAAATACACTACAATAACAGATCTTTGGGAATAAATTCAAATGTTTCCTCTAAATAATTTGTGAATTCACACAATACTGCTTTATTATCAGGTTGTCGTATATATACTTTTGGATAGTGATGCTGATGATGGTGATTTCTATACAAATTTGGTATTGTTTATTACTTTGACTTTCGATTAAGTTATCGTATGTAAAACAAACTTTCACCCTTCACTTAGTGCTTACATTTGTTTTTCTATCGTTCATTTCAGTTTTACAGGAACAAAATCGAAGGTTTTGAACTTAGGATCATACAATTATTTGGGATTCGCGGATCCCACCGGACCTTGTACTAATGCTACAGAAAAAGCCACAATAAAATTCGGTGTAGGTGTAGCAAGTTCTAGACAAGAGGCCGGAAGCTTAATATTACACAAAGAACTCGAAGATTTGGTTGCTGAATTTGTTGGACAAGAAGCAGCTATTGTTTTCAGTATGGGCTTCTCAACCAATTCACTAAATCTGCCATGTCTAGTTGATAAAGTGAGCTATTTTTTGGCATGAATTTATGAACAGACGTTTATATAGTTATTTATTAGTGGTTTTGTTTTCTTGTTGTTGATATTCAGCGATGAGTTTTAGTCAGTTTCTGATAGTTTAATATACACACAGAGCTCATGGTTTTGTGTTACCTTTCGATTGCAAGTTTAATTATATATTTTAACCAACGGTCAGAATGAAACCCGAGACGATAATTTTGTCCTATTTAGTACTCATCAAATTCATATACATGGATCCTTGTGTTAATGTCCACACTGAGACTTATGTCTGGTACAATTCTTGATATTTGAATAGCTGAACAGTGTGTACCGATCATGGGACTATTCACAGAAGCTTTAGATTCAAATTATTCTTTTTTATGAAAGGTTGTATCTGTTAAATTATGTTTACATTACATATATATCTGAAGGAAAACTGTTAACTAAACACCTTTCATATCTCTTTCAGTAAGTTACACGGTATCGATGACTTACATCAAAGTAACTGATGCCACAGTTGTATCTAATCTTATTGTATGTCTGTTTGTCTCCAAGGTGTGTAATTTTCTTAACACTTCTCAACAATAGAAAATACTAACAGTATGGGGATATGTGGAGATTAGTGGACGTCATTGATATAACAATTTTATCAATCGTCTACGAATGAAATATCCATGTCAGGTATTAAAAAATAGTTACTCCACACATATGTTTATCTATCTAAACACATATGCATTGGTACAAAGGGCACTGAATATATATGTGTTACACAATAACAATAAGGTTGTGAAGGGATAGGGAATATAAATTACCTATAATAAAAAGAAGAACAACAACGGACAAAAATTAGTGTATGAGAGCAAGATAATAACAACGGTAACAATAATAATTAGAGAAACGGTTCTGTTAGTAAAGATATAACCAGAAAGAATTCTTCTATTTAAAGAAGTTACGTTCACTTTTACAAAGAAAGTAAAAGAAAGTTACAACAGGGTCCCCACTGATTTCTAAGCTGAACCATGTCTGATAACGTCTCTAGCCACTGTGTTGCACTATCTCTAGTACCCCAACCAGGACGTGGTGAAGGACCAACAGAAGCCAGTACTGTTCAACTTTCTTTCATACCACGACACTGCATCATACGCCGACCACCTCTCTGCTTTCCCCAACCGGTCTCAGTGCCGAAAAATTATTCACGACGTGCAATTCTCTGGGATGAGATTCGTAGAACATGTCCAAGTCACCGAAGTCGATGTTTCAAGATAGTGACACTAATTGAATTATCGTCACTGTGCCCGAAGACACGATGCCGAACCTCTGCATTACTAAAATAGTGTTGCCGCTGAATGTCATCATTCGTTCAGAGACAACAATGGTGAAAAAACAGATTCGTCTAACACCCTCAAATTGGAGAGGCCAGGTCTCACAAGCACAGAGCAAACCTGCTCTCACCGATGCCTTGTAGATCCGACCTTTTACAGCTAGACTAACATCATGACGACAGCAAAGATGGCTAAACTTGACATAAGCCACCCTGGCTTTCAATATACATGAATTGATCTCATCACTCACGCCACCATTAGCACTTATGTAGCTACCCAGATACACAAACTTCTCGACTACTTCTGTTTGCTCACTACCGACGGTGAGTACGGGATTAAGGTCCTGTTAGTCTTGTAAAAGTACTTTGCACTTAGAAGGTGCGAAACACATAGCATACCTACGGATACTGGCTGCCAACTGATAAAATGGTGATTGCATGGCTTGAGTATCATTGGACAGTGAGACAATATCATCCGCATACTCAAGGTCGTTCTCCAGACAGCAGATTCACACCACTATTACCTAAATCCACCAGAGCTGTTTCTGGAACATCATCGATAGCAAAGTCGAAGAAAAATGGTGAGATTGGGCAACCATGCTTAGCCCCATTGATTTAATGTACCAGTGGAGTGAGCCGGTTGTGTGCGTTCACTCTGAGATGTTAGTATATAGGATTTCAAGATGTTAATAAACTCAGACACATCCTTCTTCTATAGACAATCCCAGAGAGCAGTCCACTCCAACGAACCGAAGGTTCTCCTAATGTCAAGAAACACGATTGTTGGCCTTTGATAAGTATGACGGTGTTCTAACATTTTGTGGAGGGTGAAGATATGATCAATACATCTTCAACCAAAACAAAAACCAGCATGCTCCTCATGAGTCAGTCTTTCTCAGGTTTTGAACAATCTACGAAGTATGGCGTAAGTCAATAGTTTGGACGCAATCGGAAGTAAACTTATCCGCCAATAGCTGTTGCATAAAAGACGTGAACCCTTTTTAAAGATAACACAACTATCGACTCATCCCGTGATGTTGGAACACGCTCTAATTACCCGACCTTTGTAAATAACTTAGTCAGTACCATAACCAGTAAGTCGCAATCATCTTTGAAGAGGGCCGGAGGTAAGTCGTCTGGACCTGGTGATTCGTTGCGCTTTAAGAGTTGGAGTCCCATGCGGATTTCACCTCGTTAGATGGATCAGTCGTCATGGTCCATGTGGGACAGGACAGTTTAGTCGATGTTCCAAGGCATCAGACCAGTTGAAATGCCCTTCAAGAAACTCTGCTCATCGTCCAAGGTGTCGGCATATGTCACTGATTGGCGTCCCGTTAGCTTCACAGATTGTTTCACTCACACCAGGCTCCTCGCTACCGGTGACTCGGATGAGTTGAAAGAGCCTTCAGAAGTTACCAGATTCAGCTGCTGTTCCCAACTCGTTAGCAAGCTCCAACCACCAGGCTTCTCGGTCCTTACGCAAGCTTTGCACTATTTTACTAGGTAACAATCTTCGTTTATGGTCAAACTCGCAGTCACTCGCAATAGACCGACGTGATACAATGAGATGTAAGGAGCTTGTAGACACCCAGTGCTTGAAAGTGGGACGTTTCACGAAGCTGCAAGCTACTTTACTCTCCATTTTCATGGCGTCATGCAATTACAACTAATACTCATTTATAATTTTCGGTGGGATGGTAGCTGGCCTTGAACCTAACTCAGGTTTATATTTAGTTGCAACAGGAGCTGCGACCAATTTACTGACATCGATCAGTTTAAGACAATGAACTTTTTGGTCACTGAAACGTCAGGTAAGATTATCGCAAACAAGTGCAAGATCAGAGTCTAGATAGGGACTCCGAAAAAAGCGGTAGCCTTGTACACAACCAGGCCAGCGGTAGCTAGTCGCAATATAATCGATCTGAGTTCAAGTTTGAGATGTAGAGGAAGGGCACCGGGTAGCACATCGGCGATGACTGTGCTGGTAGTTTGTGCTAGCCAGAAATAGATTGAGTCTATGCAAAGTTGCAGTAGACGGTTATCATTATCTAACCTGCGACCAACAAGTCCCCATCGGCCATCTAAACGACTCTCTTCTGTGCCTAGATGCCCGACCTGACCATTTGTATCTTCGGCCAGTACTACAATATCTTTCGAAAGCACTTTCTGTAAAAGAACAATTAACTGGTGGTAAAAATGATTCTTGATCGCATCCGGGCAGCGATCTGTCAGAGCATAGACGGAGACGACGAAAACACATCATTTATCACGACGATTTCTTCACACTTTTATGGAACTTCCTAATCTAACAGTACATAAACAACTGTTAATGGGAGTCCAGTAGATCAGTGCTGCTTTAGCTCGCGCTTGGTGCGACAACAATGTCAGCAAAACCAGACGAAGATGCCACAGGGTCCCCGGATAAACGCAAGTAAAACAAGCTTTGCGAAGTGGCAGATGGAGGGCGAATTTGTAGTACTTTACTATAGTCTTGAATACAGGTCTCGGATAGACAGCAGACATCGCTGTTGAAGCTTTCTAAACGCAGTCAACCCTGTCTGCTCTCTGATCCGCTTTAGTATGCGAACGTTTAAGGTAGCCATTTTGAATGGCATACGTGGTTCTAGAAAGACTGTTTTAATATTCGTTATCGGTGGTAGCAATCGACTCTCGACCAGTCGGTGACTTGTGATCGTTTAGATAGGACAGGGTTCCCACCATGGGTGAACTTCTGTATAAGTTATAAAATAAAATACGCAAGGTGAGAATAAGGAGTACATAAGTGATGAAGTACAAAGGAAACAAAAACGAATGTTACCAAATGATTGTGAATATGACTTTTCTGAATGAGCGTTGAAACAAGAGAAATTTTTCCAGCATTAATTATCATTGATTTGTGTATGAGCTGGGATACTACCCGAGTGCCCAAATCAAAGTCGGTGGTGTCCCTAGGGGGTCACTTCTCGAGCCTTTGATCTATAGATCTAATTCAAAAAGTAGTGGAGAAACGTTAGAAGATGACTTCCCATGGTAGCCGATGACCGACAATAGATTCATTTGCTATTTGCCCCCCTCAGGGTCCTGGAGCCCATTTGCACCATTGGTTTGGAATCAGGGTTTCCTAACTCCCCTGGGTGGATCGTCTGTACCCATTGATCCGGTTGAAGTGCCAGACATTTACTTTCCGTCCTCTCAGTTTGTTCAAACAATATCTCTGCCGCGAGAAGGCAGTGAGTGGGACTTCCCTGTCAGTAGCTGTATACGCGTGGCCATGTGAGAGCATTTCGAGAGTGAGAGTGGACTCTCCTCACCCTCGGCTGTGCCAGGATTATTGGGGGTAAGTAGGAACAATAACGGAGCGGATAACATGCATATAGCATATAACCCTCTTTGATCCTAACATACAACAATAGCGTCCCAACGCCCTTGGTAGATCAGACAACCCGAAAGTCATGAGAACACCATCAGGAATACGACAGGCTAGGTGCCCCCACACATATAACTTATCTATATCTGAATTGAAACGTAACAATTTGTTAAATCAGCCAGTGTTATAAAACACGTTTGAACCGATATGGTTTGTGTAAGACTCTGCAGAGTTCTCTGTGTTTTGATAAAATGCAAATATATCCATTCGCCTTTCGCTAATATGACAATCATGGACAGGAATTAGAGGCGAGGAT